TCAGAAACTAGGCAGTTATAACATGAAGTAATATGGAAGTGACACAATACCACTGTCCTTGCAACACAGTCGGAATACAACAGTAGCAGAAGAGATTTCCAGCAGGAAACAAACGTTTTGAACATTCTTAGGGATTTAGTTCTGTGCAGGTAATATTAACATACTGCTCATCACTTTATATTGACCATCTAACTTGTAAGAGTGAAAGGTAAACAGTGATTTCTTGAGAAAAAAAAACCTGAAGAATATAGGCACACCTGGGGCAAGAGTAGTAGACTGGAATACTGAAACGCAAATATGAATCCCAGTACCAAGGACAGTTTGCTGTATATTTTGTAGTGCAAATGGGTAAGAGAAATTTAGGTCAAATAAATTCAGAAATTATTTCCTAATAGGCTACATTCAGGTACTTAAAAATGTTGTCTTATTAGAAGAGGTAAAGGATTCCTAAAATCAAGATCTATATCTTGAGCAATGTTGCTCAATATATGCTTTCCCACATGCTAAAGCTACAAAATAATTAATGCTACATTGGTGATCTACACATTGTCCAACATCATGCATCATGAAATCTTTGACAACTTGTAGACCTATTTAATTTTGTTCATTAGCAAGATGCTAATGATTACACTGAAAGCTTCTTCAACATTTAGTAATTAACTTCTCATCTATATTGTCATTTCTAGATTAGGAATAAAAACTCCTGGCTGCCAGAAACTGTGATAGCAGTGCACCAATTCACTTGTCTCAAATTTTTGTGCAGCGCCAGGTTGTATAGTTTCCAAGATGGATTTGTCAATCACTGAGAATCAAAGGAATTTTAGCCTTTTATTAATTTTGCAGAAGCATCAGAAATGAAGTTAAAGCGCCTTCAAAATACGGTTCTGTAATCGAAAAGAAATCCTTCTAAAATCTCAGCATACTTGGTATTTAAAGCCTGTGGTACCAGATAGCTATTGTTTGACAATGCACATAATTCAGTTCCTTAAATCTGACATTTGATGAAACCATCTATTATGAAAATGTTTTAGATTTGATGGAGTGACATTCTGTGTGCTGAAACAGAAGACATGATTAAGTGAAGGAAACCATGAGCTAAATATAGCTTAGATTGACTGTTTTATATTTAGAATGAAACTTATGAAACAGACTACAACCTGAACTACAGTGAAGTAACTTTCAAATCATACACAAACGGATGTAGCAGTTGCAACGATTTAGCTCAAAGCAGTGAAATAAAAATTGCCTGATCAGGTCTTGGGTATGAATCTAAGCAACAAATAAAGTTACATGAGCTGTATGACCTTTTTTCCCCATTTTTATCATCACCTTCTATTGGATAAACAGGTTCCCCTTTTCAGGACCCAGAGCCCCTCCTTCAGGAATAAGCCCTTTCGGTTAAAACAGAAAATCAGAGATGCCGTCTTTAGTGTGAATTCCCATGGTCATTGAAACAATGATCCTTAGATAATGCTGTTGCTCTCAATCTCAACATTTACTTGATATTATGCTGACAATAAGAGTTATTTGATCATTACATTGGGCCTGTTTAGACTTCACGCAAGACCAAAAGGATGCTGAGCTACATTGTGAAATCATTTAAGTTCAGATCCCAAAGTCTTACTTAAGTTGTAGAGTGCTCTGGCCAGGCCTCACCTGTATTACACAAGGTTTTGGTAGCTGTGATTTGAGTGGTTCTCCTGCTCTAGAAGCAGCGCAGAAGACAGCACTGAGCAGTGTTAGCAAATGAGCTATGGTGAGCATCGATTTGACAAGCTAAAGCTGCTCAGGCTTGAAGAGATAATAATAATAATCCTTGCATTTGATATAGCGCCTAGTTTCAGAGGGAACCTTTTAGAGGTATATCAAATTTGAACTGGATTACATAAGTAAATCAGAATAATATTTTCAAATGCACTGACAGTATAACTCATATGAGGGCGTAGGTTTAGAGTTGCAAAGCACAATTTCTGGACAGACCCAGGAAGCTCTTCTTTATGAAGAGAGTAATTAATGACAAAGAGATTCCCAGGATGGGTAGTTGAGGCCAGAACGATGGATTCATTAATTTATATAAAAAAAAGCTTGTTAAAGTTATGGCTGGGTTGGTGGTCTGGAAGTATAAGATTAAATAGGCCAAAGGTTCATATGAACCTCTTGTGAATTTGTCTGATCACTGAAACCAGCAGTAAGGATGTGCAATAGCGCACAACACTTGTAGTTTGTAGAGTTTGGATTCCATTGTAGATTCAATTATACTCCTGGCAGCTTCTGCTTGAATGTTTATCCCATACTCTGGAGCTTGTCTGTGGCATAATATTTTATGTTAAGCACTCCAGGACGCTACCCTGCATGAAGGGCCTATATAAATGCAAGTCGTTGTCGTCGTTGTAGTATTTTGTTATTTATCACTGCATAATGTATCGTACAATTTGGGCTTGATAACAACAAGAATCATAGATTCATTGATCCGTGTCAAATAAAGAAGTATACTTCCAATTTACCTGCTTTATTGCAGTCAGTACAAATTTTTAAATGGACTGTGGACAGCTTGTGCCAATTCAAGGGGATATTAAAGTATTCGAATCAAAAGAAAATAAATGCATATATTCAATATCTCCCCCTTTCTCTTCTTCATATGGTTTTAATACCTTACAATTTTACAATGCAAAATGCACTGAGATACACTCAGTCAAACCTGTAGAAAACTAGTTCCATTATGAGTTACACATATACGATCATACAAAAAATCATTCACACAACATTGCTATGGTGCTATCTAGTGGTGTAATGAAGTAAATGCAATTTTCAGGGATATCTTTTGCAACCAAACTTGTGTCATAAATTATTGCTGTATTTAAAATAACTTAGGAAAATACACCTCAGGTATTTATTGAATACTATATCAAGATTGGTTTCTTCACCTGAATGCTAATGACCCTGACATTTAAATATAAAAAGTACTATTCTCATTTCTAATGCTTCCATTTTGGTCTGAATGCCACATTAAATTTCCAGTATTAGTATGCTGTTGACTTAATACATGTAGTTATTACAAGGGCACCCTATTATAGCGCTGCTTCGCTTATAGCACAATTCTTCTCTAAGCCCCCTTCTAACCGGAAGCATAGTTCACCTAGTTTCTAGCATGACTAGCCAGTTTCCTGAGCGAGCTCCAAGATAACAACAAACTGTCAAGATCAAGTCAATCTCCTGTGGTGTCTAGGTAGTCGAGAGTGATGACAAATCAACCAGACTGGCTTTTTGGCAGGATTCAGAGGTGCAGCGGCACCCTAATGTATTGGTTGCGGTGGTCTTACCAAGCAGGGTAAAGTTTGCCATTGCATCGCAAAGCAATTGACGTCAATAGCACTATAGTGTAGAAACTTATATCAGTAGTGACCTGATAACCTCAAAGTCAGCCAACTTTTATAAAGCGACAGCTGAAACACTGGACCTAGTCGACTGCGTCTGACTTCCTGATGCTATAACCCCCAGCAGAAATGATTTGAGAAACTAATTTAACTGAAGATACTCATATTCGTCAGTGAAAACATTTTTTTGGTCAACAATCTGTGCTGAATTCAAACAGAGGTTTCACACACACATGCATTATTGCTTTTGGGGACCTTTGTTTCCAAACGTTCTTCCACTCAGCTGTGCCACAAAACTGCATTCATTCAAGCCAAACAGCAGCAACAAAATACAGTCAATTCACTTTCCAGTATATCCTGTGAAGCACTTTGAGATGTCTTGAAGGTGTGATAAAGTTATATCAAGTGCAAAATTATTATTATTAATAAGAACAACAAATTACATTTGTATAGCGACTTTCACGTCAGAAGGATGTCCCATGGCTCTAGACAGTCAGGGATTTGGACGCGAGCTGGGGTTTGGGATCAGGAGCGGTGGAGGGCAGGGAGAGTGGGAGGGTAGGAGGGTGCCGGAAGGCTTGGTTGAACAGGAGGGCCTTGAAGGAGGCAAGGGAGGGAGCAAGGTGAAGGAACTGTGGAGTCCATAACAGTCCTTTAAATACTGGCTTGCTGCGATGGAATGCGAGAATACATCTGGTTTGATCAGTGGCAGAAAAACAAAAGATATTGATCAAAAATCTTTAAATACTATAATTTAGTAATCTTTTGTGCAAAGGATAAAATAAGAAAATAAGCAAAAAAATGTAACTGGAGAATTAAAGGAAAACTCTAATAACAGACTGGCTGAGGGGTGATTTGGTCATTGGATTCAGTTTATTAAGGGATCTCCAACTATAAATTCACAATCACAAATGTCTGTAAATTTAATGAACAGTGGAGAATACAATGTTCTCAACTGCCAAGGTCTGTAAATATACTAATGACCGGTGAATCGACCGCTCATACTAAGATTAAAAAGAAATGAATAAAATGAGAACGGGCAGGGGGCAGATGGACATATTATAGATAAAAATTCATAACTGAAGAATAGAATATTTGGGAAGAGTAAAATCCTGTTTGCTTCCAATAAAATGTAAGGATTCTTCCTCCTCCATTAACACACAACTTTCCGCCTCCAGTTTCTTAATGCCACTAAACCAGTCATTAACAGTTGTGAGTTCAATTTTAAAATAACAATCCAATGCCATGATTAACTTAATGCTGATTTAATTTGTCTCACATCTATTTGTTTCCAGTGAAAAGTGATTTTTTTTCTCACTGAAGAAGTTTCATGGGAACCTAAAGTACACAGTTTGTGGTCTTGATGTTGACTAAAAACAATCCTACGGCACTCGTACATGATTAAAACTAAACAAATTCTGAGTAAACTGAATTACACTGAGTATCGTAGTTTACGCAAATTAGTCTCCATTTATTTTGTGTAAGCAAATGTTTTGGTGAATTGATAGCTTATTGTAAATATTGACAAAATGATATACTTGTCAAATGCCATAAAAACATAAGATGAATAATTTTTTTGATGAATCTATAATCTTTCATAGAAAATCTGTTAGCAAGAAAACTCACCTTTCTGATCATACAAAAAGATAAGTATTGGCTGACTTGGTCCAAAGGCACAAAATGCCACCATGTTTTCGTGGGGGTGAAATGCTACATCTCGCACTGGTGATGCATAATTAAGTTCAGTATACATTGCCACTTGGTCACCTAACAGAAAGGATGAAAATAACTCAGTCACTAGTATCATATTTATTTAATAATAATAATAATAATAATCCTTGCATTTGATATAGTGCTTTTCACATCGGGAGGACGTCCCAAAGCGCTTCATAGAACACACTGTAAAGTGAATTGACTGTATATTTGTGGGCGAACGCGGCAGCCAATTGCGCACAGCAATGTCCCACAAACAGTCGTAGATTATTGTTTTTTTTGGTTTTGGAGGGATTATTATTAGGCGTGTGGAGTAAGGAAACTTGCCCAAGGTTTCGCCCTGCCTGGAATTGAACTCGGGTCTCTTGCTTGCAAAGCGAGTGCTCTAACCACTGAGCTACAGGACTCCACAATGTTTCTGATACTAATACATAAAATAAATTGAATATAACCTACAATACTCTTCATAGTTTTCTTAATGCAACATCTTTATTATAATTACTAAAATGGGATGGAAGAGTCCAAGAGAGGCAAATAAAGTTGGAATGGACTATACTTTCTGGCAAAAATGCATATTCATGTGTATACTTATGTCACTGAACCACATGCTTCTAGATAACAAGGTGAAGAAAATACTTCAAGATCTGTTTAAAAATGTGATTGTCAGAACACAGGTTTATAAATTAGGTACTTAAGATAAAATGAGCAAGAAATTATCAAAGTATTTATATGCATGTGCATTTAACACATGCTTACCTTTACGAGCAATTTTGTCCCATTGAGCCAGCAACTATTTTTCAGTTTCAATTTCTCTCAACAAGATTATTTTTATTGTGCTTTTTGTAGTAGGTTCCTCAATTTCTAGTACTTTCTCAGGAAGCGCTTTAACATTCTTCAGAATTATCTTCCTCATTCTAGACAATAGCTATTTCTCAGTTTCATTTTCTTATCAAGCATTTTTATTATCCCTCCTGACCTCGGTTCTCCAATTTCTAGCACTTTGTCAGGAAACATTTTAGTGTTGTTCAGTGATTGATCACCTAGCTTCCGAATTATCTTCCTCATTCTTCAATTGAAGTTCAGCTTCAAATAAAGTACGATACTGCTTATTTCTTAGAGGAAAACCACCTGAGAAAATTTACCAAGTGGAGCCTCATTATAATGTCGCGAGTGGGATCCATAAAATCCCAACCTAGCTTATAATGAATTGGCTTCACTGCATACGCACACCTAGCTGGTTGGCTCACTCCGTGCACTCCATTGGTCAGAAATAAAATCGCTCAAATAATCTTCGTAAATGGGTACAAAGGGGTGTCTAGTTTGCCTCAGCAAAAAAATTCAGTATGGCTACAGCACTGATTGATTGATTGATTCATTCATTTTGCTTTAGCATGTTCACAATCAAAAAACGTTTGCAGCACAGAAAGGAGACTGTTTGGCCATCTTGACTGTGCTGCTGCTAATTTCATAATAGTATATCTTATTATGAATCCTAGAGGTCTGGTGATATACATTTACAATGCTATTCCCATTATAAGCACAAACCATCCATCAAACACTGGTAATTTTTTTCACAAATAGAAGGTCCATGAAAAAGATTACATCACAAGATTAGTTCAGATGAAAAAGGCTCTTCACCCATTTTACCTCATCCTTCCAGAATACCCACCATCAGAGCATCAGGCTCTTTTTAAATGAATCCAGTATCCTGGACTTGAGCCACTCTTCCTCATACTGCTCCAGTCATTAATTGTCTCCTAATTATAATAATACTGTAAAGTGAATTGACTGTATTTTAGGGGTGAAACGCGACAGTCCAATGTGCACAGCAGTGCCCCGCAAATAGTCGTGGATTGTGTGACCAAATTATTATTAGTTATTTATATACTGAAGGGATTATTACCCCCGGAGAAGCGATCTGCCAATTGACTAACAACTGGATTCCTACTGCTAGGTAAATAGAGGCGTGTGGAGTGAGGAAACTTGCCTAAAGAAATACTTTGTGGTGCTCTGAAACTATTGTTTGCAAACCTGTTTAGAAAGTAAAGTTCTGGGTTTACTTTTTCAATCCCATTTGAAATTTTATTTCAAATTTTATAGACATCTAATAAGGTACCCTCAGACAATTGCTTTCAAGGCTGAAGAACTCTAGCTTGTCTAATCATTTAATCCTTGTGGTCCCTGGAACCTGGATATTCTCCTGGGTCGATTTCCGGCAGGGCAAAATGTTGGGCAAGTTTCCTTACTCCACGTGCCTCTCTTTACCTAGCGGTAAGTAGAACCTGCTTGTTATTTGATTGGCAGAGGTAATAATTCCTGCAAAAAAAAATTGGCCACTTCAATCCAACAACAACTTGGATTTATATGGTGCCCTCCAGGCCGGATGGCGACTCAGAGGGTGGAGCGGCAAACTATTTGTGGGACCAATCCACCGACTATTTGTGGGACACTGCTGTGCACAATTAGCTGCTGTGTTTTGTCCACAAAAATATAGTCAATTCACTTTACAGTATATTCTGTGAAACGCTTTGAGATGTCTCAAAGATGTGAGAAGGCGCTATATCAAATGCAAGGATTATTATTATGTTGTGGCCATCAAAACTGTATTCAGTGTCAGTTATCCTTTTCATTTGTTGCTAATTATGTAATTAAGGCTCAAGTAATTACCACTGTATTTTGACATGCTTTATACAATTCACAAAACATACACAAATAGTTTGGAAGAAAACCATTACTTGATCCCAAAATAAACTGACTGAGAATACAGATGCAAACATACCAGTCTCCGAATTCCAAACATAACATATTCCATCTTCACTGCCTGCAAAGAGGAATGTCCCACAAGGTGTGAATGTACTACATATCTGCTCGTGATAATTTGTAGCACCTGTATACTTTTTTGTAGCCAGTCTAGAAAAAACAAAAGAAAAATAAGGCAATTTAACAGATACCAAACACTATAAGCACTATCATTGTTTGTACTAATTCCACATAGAATGAAATGTATACCAATTAGTATACAAACTAGTGATGAATCTCTGAAACCATCTTAAAATAGACTTGAGGCAAACATTTTCAGAATTTATAGCAAAAAAGTGCAGTAAAGCTTTTGTTAAAATTTCTTATTCCTCCTGATCACTATATAAAACATTGGAAACTACAACATAGTAAAATAAAACAAACAACAGGAGATATTTGCTGGGAAACAACAGGTCATTACTGTTGTATGAGAAGAAAAATAATTGAAGGCCAATGGCTCAGTGGATAAATGTACTGCCCAGTGTTCTAATGAATTATATAGGCCTGGACGATCCCCAAGTTTAGTCCAGAACTATGCTGCAGTTGCAACCACTATGTTAGGGGCACTACAATGTCTGCTGGGGTTCCCACTCCTGATTAACAATCAGTGACCCCTGCTAGAAAGGAGATGCAAGAGACATCAGAAAGCCAAAATTCCTTGTGTGCCAGTGGTCTTAGAATGGAAATTTGGGAAATTATAGCTATGTTGCACAATAATAGCAGTATTTTGTGAAAGGGGATTATCGGTTTAGCTGTAAATATAAGATGGACCTTGCTGTTAATTGATGCAGTTGACAAAGGGTAAATTGGTACTTTGAATGAACGGGTGAATTCTACTGTGTTTCCATGCTGTAGTAGGGGTGTTAGTTTACAAGTTAGTGAATGTTATTACATTCAATTCAGACAACACTGATATCAAATATGATGATATTGTAGTGGTTTTAAATGATAACCTTTATACAGACTCATGAAAGTCAAGGACTTTCTTCCTTGCCTTCCACATTAATGGTCTTTCTATAGAATATTTGCAAACTCGATTTGATCGATTTTATGTTCCAACTGTGGTTCAAAATGTGAAGACGACTCTATGGACAGATATATTGAACCTATTTCCTGTACATTTCAATTTTGGAGCTTGACAATGGCCCTCCACCTTACCTACTGATGATCAACACTGCAACAAAATAATTCATGCAGCAGAGCCTTGTTGGAGAAATTTAGTCTTAGTTATTAGTTTGACATACAAGATAACTTTACAGATTTAGAGAATATCCATTTCAAGGTCAATGAGTATGCAGATGTTCCAGGCGTAATACTTGTAAAGTGCTGCTCTTACTATTTTCATATTAAAGGTAAAGTAACAATTAAAACAATTAAAACTCTGCAACAACAGAATGGCCTAAAGCAATACAACAACAACAACAACAACAAGATTCCATTTATAGAGCGCCTTTCACGTCGGGAGGACGTCCCAAGGCGCTGTACAGTTGGGTCAGGATCCGAGCAGGGGGGAAATGGTCAGGGTGAGGGGAGGGAAGGGAGGGAGCGAGGAGGGGTAGAGAGTCGAGAGGGGAGCTGAAGGCTCGGTCAAAGAGAAAGGTCTTGAGACCGGCCCTGAAGGAGGAAAGGGAGGAGGCGGCGAAGGCACTAGGGGATAGAGTTCCAGAGCCTAGGGGCTGAGAGGCTGAAGGCCCAGGCACCGATGATAGGGCGGTTGGAGCGAGGGATGTGGAGCAGACCGGAGCCAGAGGAACGGAGGGTACGGGCAGGTAGGTAGGGGGACAGTAGGTCGGAGAGGTAGGAGGGAGCAAGGCCGTGAATGGCCTTGTAGGTGAGGATGAGGATCTCATAAGAAGAAAAAGCAAAGTGAGTGAATGCACTTGTCATGAGAAAGAATTTTAGGCCTTGGGTAGACAGGATGGGACTAAATATTCCTGATGACACATCTGTCAATATCTAAGATTCAGAGCGAGGATTCGGAGCATGGAACAGGGCATCTGCAGAGAAACAACAAGTGACATCAACGTGACTTCACACTCAAAAGACAGAACCAAAAAAAAAAACCTAAAAGCCTAGCCGAGGTAAGCAATCTCATTGCTAACCACAATGAGCGTCCTCCCCCCTCTGCACCACCTCCAGCCCCCACAGCCTCCTGTAGGCTGACAATGTCTCACTAATCCGCCGCCTCTCGTCTCAGTGTGCACATCTTGGCTGCTGCCCCCGACCCGAGCTGGCCCTCCCTCAAAATGCCCCCCTCCCTGCAACTCTCCCGCACTGTCCTGCTCTCCCTCTGCTCTCCTCGCCTCCTATCTCTGCTTGACCCTCCCACTGCCTCCCTCTGCTCCAGCCTGGAAATCCTCCAGGGCTCATCGTGGCACTCAGTGTTGGCTGTCTAGCAGCACACACCGACGGCTCCATTCCCCACTACCGCCGCAAGCCACCCCAGACTCAGACCCTGGGGGCTAACCTCTCCTCCCTCATCCACATCCCCACCCTCCCTGCCAACCAATCCACTTCCGCCTCCCATCCCACACACATCCCCGCCAACTGTCTGCTCCATCTGCAATAAGACCTGGCCGTCAATGATCTCATCCTCGATGAGAACGTTGATATTACGGCCCTCACGGAAACCTGGATCATCCCAAGTGACACCTTCCCCGTCATGGAGGCCACACCACCTGGCTATATCTACCACCATGCCCCACGCCCCAACCGCGAGGGTGGTGGTGTGGCCCTCATCTCCAGGGCGTCACTTGCCCTATCCCCCTGTCTCCGCTAGCTCATTCCCCTTTTGAACACCTTAGCCTCTGCCATCCCTCCCATCTTTCACTAAAAATTCTCCTAATTTACCGCCCCAAATCCTCCCCCACCTTCATCTCTGACATCTCCACCCTTCTAGCTTCCCTCTGCCTCTGCTCCGACCATCTCATCATCCTAAGTGACTTCAACCTCCACTTCACCCCCTCTTGCTCCACCTCCTCAGACTTCTCTCCTCTCTCAACCTCTCCCTCCACATCCACTCTGCTGCCCACGCCACGGCCACCCGCTTAACCTAGTGATCACCAGGGCCTCAGCGTCTCGGATGTCACCATCACCAACAAGACCATCTCTGACAACCATTTCATCTCCCTCAACTCCTATATCCCTCTTCCCACTGCCTCCAAATCTACCACCATCTCCTACCGCCCATGGAAGATCTCTCCACAATCCCTCTCCGCTGCCCTGGAGTCCTCTGAACTCCTTCTCCTCTGACCCACCTCCCGCACCAACCCATCCTCTGCGTTTACTCTCCTCCACAGCACCCTCTCCACCATCCTCGACGCTCTTGCCCCCCTCACCTCCCGAACTGCCTCCTATTCCAAATCCTCACCCAAGTTTACTAGCCACCTCCGCTTGCTCAAGGGCCAGGTGCAGGCTGCCGAACGCACTTGGCTCAAATCCAGCCTAATGGTCCATCGGCACGTCTGGCTGAATCACATCAAAACCTACCGCTCCCCTCTCGCCTCGGCCAAATCGTCCTTCTACTCCAGGTTAATCCACCACCAACCGGCTCCTCTGCCCTCCACAACATGCCTAGCAGATTCTTACCTCCAACTCCCACTGCGAAGAAATGCTCGAGTCCAAAATTGAGGGAATCCGCTCAGCTGCCACTACCCTCCCAGCTTCCAACCCCTCCCTAATCCCACCCTCCCCCCCCACACTCCGACCACTACCCATCCTCCTTCCACACCTTTGAACCTGGCACCCCCTCCTCTATCATCACCACCATATCCTCCATGAAGCCCACCACCTGCTCCCTGGACCCCATTCCCATCCCTCTCCTTAAATCCCAGCTGCATCGCCTTGCCCCACTTCTCGCTGACATCATCAACCTTTCCCTGTCATCTGGCACTGTTCCTACCCCCTTCAAAGCAGCCACTATCATGGCCACTTTGAAGAAACCCTCCCTTGACCCATCACAGCTATCCAGCTACCGGCCCATCTCCAACCTCCCTTTTCTGTCCAAGGTCCTTGAGAGGTTCTTGCCTTCCAGCTTCGCTCTTTTCTCTCCTCCCACTCCCTCCATGAGCCTCTCCAATCGGCTTTCCGTACTGCCCGGAAATTGCTGGTCAAGGTCACAAATGACATCTTGAGCATGTGTGACCAGTGCTCCCTCTGCCTCCTCGTCCTCTCCGCCGCGTTTGACACTGTGGACCATTCAATCCTCCTCCACCGCCTCTCCTCCCACCTTAACTTCCAAAGTTCTGTCCTTGACTGGTTCAGGTCCTACCTTTCACACAGCCTCCACTTTGTCTCAGCAAACGGCTTCTCCTCCAGCCTCTGCACCGCCTCGTGTGGCATTCCTCAGAGCTCTGTCCTCAGTCCCCTCCTCTTCACCCTCTACATGCTCCCCCTTGGTGACATCATCCGCAGACATGGGGTAAATTTCCACATTTACCCGGATGACACCCAACTATCTCTCTGCCTCCACCCTCAACTCCAGGACTACTAGCGTCCTGACCTTCTGCCTGTCTGACATCGTCCTGGACGAGGGACAACTTTCTCCAACTGAACGTCAGCGAGACCGAGTTCCTCCTGATTGGCTCACGCTAATGTCGCCTCATCTCGAGCGCTGGTAGCATCAGCCTCCACGGCTGCACACTCAACCTCACTAAGCCAGTCAGGAACCTGGGTGTCTTGTTTGACCTTGAACTGTCCTTTCTCCCCCACATCCACGCCATGACCAGCACTGCCTACCATCACATTGCCAGATTCCGCCACTGCCTCACCCCTCAGACTGCCGAAACCCTCACCCACACATTCATCACATCAAGGCTCAATTATGGAAATTCTCTCCTCATTGGCCTTCCCATCTCTTCCCTTCGCAAGCTGCAGATCATCCAAAACTCTGCAGCTTGTGTACTCTCACGCACCAGGTTCCGTGACCCCATCACTCCCACCCTCGTCCGACTCCACTGGCTCCCCATCCCTCAGAGGATCGAATTTAAGATCCTTGTCCTCACTTTCAAGGTCATCCATGGCCTTGCCCCCTCCTATCTCTCTGACCTGCTGACTCCCTACCAACCTGCCCGCTCCCTCCGTTCATCGGGCTCCCGTCCGATCTCCCCTACCATCGGTGGCTGAGCTTTCAGCCTCTCTGCCCCCACATTTTGGAATTCCATCCCACAGTCCCTTCGCCTCGCTTCCTCCCTTGCCTCCTTCAAGGCCGGTCTCAAGACCCTCTTCTTCGATCGTGCCTTCGGTCGCCCTCTCACCTCTCTGCCTTCCCTCACCCCTCCCCCACCCGTCCCCCATGCTCAGGTCCTGGATCCCTGATTGTCCAGCGCCTTGGGACGTCCTCCCAACGTGAAAGGCACTCTATAAATGTAATTTTGTTGTTGTTGTAGGCTAATGTATAAAGAATAATCATTTTGGCAAATAAAGGGTGAAGGAAATTCCTAGTTGCGCATTGACACTAAACAAATTATAAACATTTCAACTTACTTATTTTCAGTCTTGTGATCAAACAGTTTGCTAATTTTGGTCAGCCAGGAGTCTGACATGCAGAAGTCTCTGATCATGCCTAGGGGTCTTTGCTCCACTTATTGAAAATTCACATATGCAAGACTTTGCAATTTCTACAATGCACAATCTGCACATCTCAAATATCTACTCTTGGAGAATCCAGAAAGGATCACCGTCGCTTAGGACACTGGCTTGCAGTTTGGACCAGAGCAGGAAGAATTCCAATCCAACATAACATATCTATCCATCCAAGTTTCACTCATAAGCTAGGCTGATCAATCATTTAAACACAGTGGATTCAGTTCCCCTCTCCCTTTGCTGTATCACCACAATGCTAGCTGATTCCAAGAGAGACCCTAGAACAGTATGACGGTGGTCATCAAATAGCTTCAATAACTTACACTCTCAGGTCCATCACCCTCAGAGTGCTGTCCTTGGCATGGATTAGCAGACGTCTACCATTTGGATGAACCTCTAAGTGATTCACAGAAACCCCTTTTAGTTCATTCTCTTTAATCTCCTAGAAAGAATTTGTGGAAAATACATTAGATTTTTAAAAAATAAAATTCAAAACTTCTCTTTTCCAAACATTTCAACACTGATGATTTTTCTAGACTCTAGGGTTCACTTCATTCAAATTGTACAAAAAAGTAACAGCTTTTTCAACCTGCTCATCTCACCAATTATATTAAAGCTGTCCTGTACAAACTATTATGCACATTTTAAAGGCAAACCATTAGATTAGCAGGTACAGGAATATCATATTTGTCCAATCACAGGAAGATTATTTTGCAAGGCCAGGTTGGGGATCATAAAATGCATGCCTTTAACAGGGTGCTTTCTAGAGTAACTGCTCTCAAGTTATACACAATGGCACCATAAAATAAAATGAAATTTTGAATAACAGTTAACAAAATATTACAGCAAGGCATGTTACATGAGGTTGCACTTCTTGACAATTGTTTTCATCAACAAATTAAGTAGAGCAAGTATAAAAATGAATTTTTTTACCAATAGCTCCTACTTTACTTTCAACAAGTTCATTGGGTTAGTTCTTTGCTACCTAATGTGAAACTTTTTTGAGAGATGTTAATCATATTAAAGTAGTCGCTAATAGGACATGTTGCAATAAATTTATATTACTGCACATTGTGTGATGGTGGTGCCTTTAAACCAATGATCAGATAAAGATATAAACTGTTAATGCCAGAGTAGTCACTACCAATGCAAATGAGCAAATAAAAACTTGCAGTTTGTATTGGAAAAGCATAACAAACAATAGTTTACGATAATACATTCACTAATATTTATTCAATGTATAAACAGAAGAATTTCCTGTCATCTTACCTTGTCAATGCTCCATTGCTGAAGTAGGTTTTCTTCAGTGTCTTCCTTTACAGAAGTATTCCAAACAATGATCAGCCCTAAATTGTCTCCGGAGAACATATGCTGCCCTAAATTTTAAAAGCTCTTTATTAGTTTCAAAACATTCTTAAAATATTAAGATATTTATTCAAATTACTCAAACAGTACAACATATATCCCTGTTGAATGCAACAACGACAACAAAGTACAATTCTTTTCATATTTCAAGATTGTGAATGTTATTTGGAAATACAGAATCCCAGACTCCTACGCTGTTCAAACTCCTGCCTATCTGATGGGAGTGATTTTCAACAGACCTTGACCTAGCATAACCTAAAGATGCAGATGAAAAATCGTCAGGTCCAGATCCGTCTCAGTTGATATTCCATTGGTTTTACTGATTTTATGACTAAGATCCTATTCACTAGTTTTCCACATGGAAAATTCTGCTTATTACCTTAATTGATGTCAGAAACATAATTAATCCCTCCCAACAAAAATAACAAATGCTTTCCAAACTGTATAAACATTAAACTGAATAAAATAATTCTGAACCATAGTTCATCTGAACCCCATGTCTCTAAGAGAAATCCACAGATGTGCACCTCTAGCAAGCAGCAGGAAGTACAAGACAAGTGATTAGGAACTGGAAGCTGATTTGGAGCACTGAAGCCATTTGACAAACTACCATTCCTGGCTCCAAAGATGTGAAATAGGCATCTGAAAATCTTTTCTGGAAATGTAGACAATAAACTGGAATGGACTGCTGTTCAGATGTCTTAATTGTAATGCAAAATTAAATAATTACGAATCTACTAAAAACAATTTTCTGTTCTCCAGGAGACAAGTTTATCAAGTGTTCAGCAATTATAAATATAAATTAAAAATTAGCTGTTACATATTTCTTTTTAAAAAGGTAGTATGCATTTTGTACTCATTTATGTTACCAACTGCCCAATGGACATCAACTCTTCAACTTATGCAGTTAATTTTTGCTCACTGAAATGAACAAAATGTACAAATAGCTAGACTGACCTTCGGCATCAAAACACAGAGTGTTTATAAAGCTCTTGTGACCATTGAATTCCTGAAGTAGTTGACCATGTGCATCTTTCGTATTAATATTCCATACACGGATGACAAAATCATAACCTCCTGTAACCACTAGGTACTGAGCAAGTGGATGGTATTTTGCAGTATAGATAAATGAAGGGTGTGGAAGAACTTTTTTAGCTGGATTGTGATAGCTTTCTTTATCCCAAACCCTGAAAACATCAACAATGAATAGTTAATTACTTATCAAATGATTGTGTTTTCTCAAAAATGTAACTAACAACTTACATAATTGAATCGATTGAAGCAAAATTTTAAATGTCTGCATGACTAAAGAAATAAGTGCTAAATTTAAAAAAACAAAATACATGAAAAGCTGTCAAGTTACTTTATACAGTCAAAACACTTTTGGTTTCATCATGTGATTGTAGAAGAAGAATTCATAACAGCTTTTAAAACAGGAATTAGACAAATTGCAGCCAATTTGCACACAGCAATGCCTCACAAACAGCCTTGAAGTGATAGAATACAAAATAACATTTGTATAGTGTCTTTCACATCAGGAGGTCATCTCAAGGCACTGGACTGTCAGGGATTTGGACCTGAGCAGGGGGGTTGGGGAGGGTTGGGATCAGGGACAGGGAGGGCAGAGAGGGTGGCCGAAAGCACGATCGAAGAGGAGGGTCTTCAGACGTGCCTTGAAGGAGGCAAAGGAGGGCAATGTGGGATGGAGTTCCAAATGGTGGGGGCAGAGAAGCTGAAGCAAAACCGACAATGGTGGGGCTTGCCATGCGGGCAATAAATCAACTGCTCCTCTTGACAATGCAGTGCATACCCAGCACTGCTTTGGCGAGTCAGTCAAGACTGTGAGTTCAAAGTCCCAGGATGGAGATTGAAACCTTCCAACTCGGAGAAGATGCTATCGATTGAGCTAGGCTGATGCATATAAAAGGGTATGGGAATGGTTGTGAAATTTAACAGGAAGTGCGGGAATAATGGAGGGTAGGGGAGCAGTGTTACAAGTTAGGAGGTAATTAATATAGTGCAAAGAAATCTGCATGGTTTTGATAGGAAACTGAATGTGACTCGGATGAATGTACAACTTAGGCAATTATACGATTTATATTCATAACTGGTGTAATATTTCCACAAAAACAGATCTATTTCACTCTATCCAGAAGTAGTTATTCTGAATGTAGCACTAACCTTACAGTGCCATCAGATGATGCAGAAAGGAGGGTATTATCATCGTTTGACCAACACAGACTGTACACAATACTAAGGTGCCCATTAAATTCTCCCAACACTTGTCCTGAAGAAATTTCATACACTAAATAAACAAACCAATAATATTTTGGTTTAGTGTGCATAAAGTCAATTACAAAATGTATCTACGTTTTAAGCAACATTTCTTACATCTCCAAAAAAACTAATGTAAGATATTGTACTGCCATCTAGCGGCATAAGATTGTTTCACAGCTTATTAAATGTATTACCGTGGAACCTCTGTAACATGGCAGTTGGGGCGAGATAGCTGGTTTCAGTGTCCACACGTGGGGTTGGTCAACGTGTCCCCCCGGAAGTGTCTGGATACCGTGTTAAAAGGAAAATGGCCAACTTTTGAGCCATTGACTCGTCAACTGTTTCTGCATATCCACGAAGCAGGATGTTACATCAGTGGTGTCCTGTTAACCTGGAAATCTCATCACCAGCAATCTGATGACCTGAAATTCAGGTGATCAGGTTGCAGGTAATGTAACTCCATACACATTGCCCACTATGTGCAGGAAGTACCACTAACATCACTTACTCTGCGACAGCAGCGGCATGGCCTGATTTTGCATCAGTCAGTACCGGACACTGTGTCAGCCTATCATACATTGCCATTCTGGTGTGAGAATTACTACCAATATAATAATAATAATCCTTGCATTTGATATAGCGCTTTTCACGTCTTCTAGACGTCTCAAAGCACTTCACAGAATATACTGTAAAGTGAATTGACTGTATATTTGTGGGCGAACGCGGCAGCCAATTGCGCACAGCAATGTCCCACAAACAGTCGTGGATTGAAAATGACCAATTTATCATTTTTTTCTTTTGGAGGGATTATTATTAGGTGTGTGGAGTAAGGAAACTTGCCCAAGGTTTCGCCCTGCCTGGAATTGAACTCAGGTCTCTCACTTGCAAAGCGAGTGCTCTAACCACTGAGCTACAGGACTCCACAATATGCTTCTTACTCATTCATGTTTACTACACAGTAACTGTTGCTCACCTACAATGGGATAGCCATCCCTGTTAGCACATGCTGCTGCCAAACTTCTTCCATTGTGAGAAAATATGATACAGAAACATCCAATCTGTCCTCCTCGAAGTGACAGCTCAAACTTGTTAGGTATACGACACACCTAAAAGGCAACAGTAAACTTTGTATGTTTAATATTTATAACAGAATATAATCTCCTTTGTTCTAAAACAAAATAGCTGAGCTCCATAATGATCGTGATCGTATCAGTAGATTTTTTTTTCCATAAAGTTTATAAACATATTAAATTATATTTCTTTACCTGTCCAGGCAATTTGTTCCACTTCAAAATCTCTGCCTTCTGGGTATCTGCAACTGATGTAGAAATTTTCTGTGACATCACAGTCTGAAGATCAGAGTATGAAATAGTGCCTCGTTCCTGCTGAACAGGCAGCATAGAACGCACAGAAAGAGCAATCTAATCAGAACAGATATACAGCAGGTTATTTAAGTCTTTTCTTTTTCAATGGCCAGTTATGCACCACTTGTGATATAGGAATAAAATGAGATTTGCACAGATAAAATTGGAGGAGAATACAATTATAAATAAATAATCCTTCAGGCCACACATTTGATAGTGCCTTATCACGTCTTTGAGACGTTTCAAAGCACTTCACAGAATACACTGTAAAGTGAATTCACTGTATACTTTGTGGGTGAAACTCGCCAGCCAATTGCACACAGCAATATCCCACAAACAGTTGTGGATTGAGTGACTAATGTATTATTTACTGAGGACAGTGGTGTGGACTACGCAGCAGCACGGACAGCGCTTATATGGATACCAATAAGGCACTGTATCAAATGCAAGGATTATCATTATCATTCCTCCACTCCTCACATAGAAACACGAATGAATAAGTGTAACTATATATATATATATACAATTGGCGGGAGGGGGTAAACAAAAAGAGTTTTCTATCAATTTTTCTCTTTCAATTTAGCACTTAAAATGAAGAATTCAAGCTCATTTTCTCCTCATGAAAGTGAGGCCATTTGCAGCAACAACAACAACAAATATAACAAAATTACATTTGTATAGCGCCTTTCATGTCAGGAGGACGTCCCAAGGCACTACAACTGCTGCTCTCAATGTGATCAGCTAGCACTTAGCATAAGCTGGGGTTTGAAGTTGCTACTTTTTTATCTGTGTGGCCTGATGCTACACCACTGAGAGGTGCCTTTGGCCCAAGGCTTTTAGGATGAAGCAACAATATTTGAATATTCATTATGCTAGAAGGTAAATGTTCTGCTTTCTCCCACAATCAATGCCCCAGTTTCAAATGTTACAGAAAAATATAGAGTAGCACACATACAGATTTGGTACAACTGAAACATAAGCCAATGTTGCTCTTGTGTGCATTTTGCTCTTTATTTATAATAAGTCTTAATCATCAAATTCTCTGAGAGAATTTAGATTTAAAAACATGTTTTAAAATCTTAAAGAGTTCTTATATAAAGTCTTGTTTGCATTGTGTATTTATAGAAGCTGGGCTCACATGAATACCTTTAAGAAGTTGTTCTTTAAATTAGGAAAGCCTTGTGTCAAGTCTGACAAAGCAATTTGCGGTGCATAAATGAAATATTAAATTAGGACTCACATTTTCAGGTAACTTCAAGCCTTTCACTGTAACGTACAAAGTTGAAGGGTAATATTTCCAAGGCAGTTTATTCCACCATTCAAAGACTTCGATGGAGTTGGACAGCTTCTTGACCTTTGATGTTGGATAATACAATTGCAGGCGAAGTTTTCCGTCAACATTCAGTATGCCATTTGCACCTACCAGCTATTTCATGGTTTAATAAAAAAAAGTTTACATTAAGACATACAAAATAACCTGCTTCCAAATTTTATTGAACCTTCAACTGTAGAATATGTAATGCAATTTTTCATGTTAATATGTTGTATAATAATGAAGATCATACAGAATAACAAGTGTATCTATCAAACCATTATGTTTAAAAAAATGAATGTCCCCATGACTCAGTGGGCAAGAGTACTGTATAGTCGTCAGCTATACAAACCAGACTCTAGGTTCAGTTAATTTTCTTACTTAAGGGCTGGCAACCCAGAGATGCTGATGCCAGTTGAAGCAGCTGCTCTATCTCCATGGTTGACATTCAACCAAGGATGCAGAGCAGCTGCTTCAACTGTAATCAGCATCTCTGGGTTACCAGCCCTTCAGTGTTCCTGCTCATGAAGCAATAAGATCAACTTAGCTGCTATAGCCAACCAACATTTACTGACCAGGCTCATTCATGAAGTGGGGCCCCTTAACCGCTTTGAAATGTCTCAAAAGACGTGATAAAGCGCTATATCAAATGCAAGGATAATGATTATTATTGGGAGAGAAGTATAAGTGGACTACAAGCACCCTTAGAACAGAACTTAATACTTGTCTACTTCAGAATATTAATGCCCATCCTTACCTTCAAGAATGCCCAGGCTACTCTGCGCCAACCTCCTTCTCTATTTTGAGTTTCATAGTTAATTCTAGCTTTATCCATACTTACAAAATCAAGAATCTAGGAGTAAGAAAATATCTGGTTTGAGTTTCAAATAAACAAAGATATTAGAAAATACATGGCAACAAGTAGCTCTTAAAGACAGTCAGAATTGGTTTAGCTACAATTTATTTAACCAACTGTCATCTAAAAAAAATTCTTGTTAAACAAACTCAGTTTTAAATACACTGGATAATGTGAAAATCTTGCACTCCAAATCTGAAATGAATCATTGAAATGAAATGGAGCAATCCTTTTTAATCGCTACTGGTCAAACCATGATGGCTGATTGTTCAATAGAGCTGTCTCACAAGTTCTCATGAAATGTTACTCTCTGTGGAAGAATGGCAGGAAAAGATGCCTGCTTAGATGAAGCCTGAACAATCTCAAATTTTCTGTTGCATTCAAATAGTATCTTTGTGTCTTAAAGCTGACCCAGCCTAATGCTATGTATACGGGACAAGTATCCCTCTGCTCAGCTGGCCCCAGCTTGCTTCAAGCCCTCCATCCTATTTACCCCACCATTGGCAGTCCCCCACTCTCTGGAACTCCATCTTGGAGTCCCTCCAACTCAATCTCTCCCTCACCTCGTTAAAGAACTTGTCAACACTTTCCTCTTTGACCGGGTCTTCGGATATCCTTAGCCCCCAACCCCCATTCCCTTACTCCACCCCAGTTCGGCTGCCAAGCCAGGATGGTCAAGCGCCTTGGAAATGTCTTCCTGAAGTGAAAGGAACTATTATAAATGTAAATTTGTTGTTTTAATTACTGGTGAAGTGCCTCAAGATGTTGATACATATCAAATATCTATATCAAATGTAAGGATTACTATGAGTGAAGCCAACTTCAAAAGTAATATCTGCAAGCATGTATCATTGGTCCTAACTGCATTCCCATTCAGTTTAGCAAAAAATCCTTCAATGCGTCTATCTCATCATCTCACAACCCTAAATCTTACTAATTTACAGGAACCAGTCTAGTTCCTTTGGAAACATTGTATGCTTCATTGTTCCACTAACTGTGCCATTAGTTTGTTCTGTGTACCCAACACCCATTTACTAAAACCAATTCTCTTGCGTGTCCATTTGTTTTGATTGGGCAGAACTGGTCTTTTCTCCACACCTTATTCCTTTAAATAAATTATCTGCATAGAATATGAACCTATTTATATATTTGAAACCAGCTTCAATTAAAAACCACAAAAGCACCTAATTCCAGTATGACTGCTTTAAAGCAAACCTTATATTTGCTTTGCACAGTATTGTGAATTGAGCCNAAAAAAAACAAGGAGACTATACTACCGATTTTCAAGAGATGTACGTATGTCAAACTTAGCTTCAACATCATTGGACGTGGGTTGAAGTCAAACCTACTTAAATGTTAAAGCTAGGGTCAATTTATCAATCTTTTTGGGCTGTACGATTCTGTGATTCTATTCATTACAAAATATAAACTTGTAACTATCCAAGTTTAAGTATAAGAGGTAAAAGAGCATTACACTGTACCAATCACCCCCAAAAACATTTTATACCTCAAAGAATAGAATGACTTTAGGACTTTCCTCAGTTTCCTGAAGGAAGTAACCAAATCGTTCATTGAAGATGATCTGTTCCTCCCACTCTGGAACAGTCAACTTGTTTTTCTTAAAGTCGTAAGGCTGAGTCATGATGGGAAGGATGTGTTCCACACTTTCTTGTTCATAGTATGAAGTAACATGTCGATTGCTAATAGGAAAAAAAATTAAATGTTACAAGGAAGCACTTTTAATTAATCAATAACAACTTTTTTGTTAAATGCATCGAATGTCTAATTCAAGCATCTCAGTTCTATAGATTATTAAAACTATTTGAATAATGGATCTGCAATTTTTTTGAATAGGGATACTGAATGTCTCGTAAGTGACAATCAGTAGTGAAATGTATTACATTATCCAAAGTATCATTAGGTGCATAACATCCCAGCACATTCTGTTTAACTTTAATACAATGTAGGTTGGCAAAACAATTAGGAGGATTAAGGCTTTTAAAATGTGAAATGTAAAACTAGGGAACACCTCATGTAATTGGAATTGGAGCTGTTAGCTCCTGTGGAAAAAAGAAAAGGTGTCTCCTGCTGAACAGTAATTCCCATAATTCTATCCATAGGCATGTGGATTTTGATCAATGCTTTTTCATTATTACAATCTGTAAGCTAATTTAAATGAAGTTTTAGTAGTAAACCTGGAAGATATTTAGTTATGGAATTACCACATGTAAAAAAACAGAAAGTCAAAATTTGCATTAATTAGGACATATTCATTTTTTATATGGAAGCATTAATATGAAGACTTCCTCTAGACCAGGGATGGGCAACCTGCAGTCTGCGGGTCACAAGCAGCTCGCATGACTATTTTACACATGTGTAATGCAAGCCTCTGGGTGCAAGTTGGCCATCCATGACCTGCATGCTGAAGGAGGACAGTGGATGAGACCCATCTGCTCAAATATATTTTTCTGGAACAGGAAATGGATATTAGTAGATGGATTAGGAATTTAACACATATTATTTTTGGTAACAGCAAAATTAAATGTTTATTCATCAATTTAACCGTTTGAAGTTGTAACTGAGCTTAAATTAATGTAAAGTTGTCCTACTATTCAAATAGCCATATAGATTTACTGAGACCATTGGCTGTGGCATGGCTGTCATCATCTGTACGAGTCACACTCACCAAATTTAGTGTTACAAACTCTAAAGCATGTATGATGATGAGTTTCCCAGGAAATATAAACTACTGAGTACCACAAGACAAATTTTTACTCATATACGTGCCTGGACGTGAAAATCATTTCTGTACTACTGATTATATATATGGGCCTGTGGTTTTCAAAAAATATTCCGTGCACAGCGTTCAAAACAGGCATGAGAGATTACAAGTATGACTAACACCTCCACTCCTTGTACAGAATAGGGTCTAAATTGCTTCTGCTGACCAATGGACAAAGTGAGGATTTTTGCTGCAAGTCAGGGAACAGTTGTGTGATAATTAGATAGAAAAGACTTGGAAATCCAGGTTTCCAAAACACTTTTGTTTGATCATCAATGTATTTCAGAAATGAATCAGGTAATTAATATAGTGTATTTTTATTGGCTTTAGGAGAGAAAGTTATTGGTTTACAATTAGTACAAAGTTTCTACCCCATTTTTTGCGCGAGCACTTTGCATTGGTGAGGCAAGTTAATAATAATAATAATAATAATCCTTGCATTTGATATAGCGCTTTTCACGTCGGGAGGACGTCCCAAAGCGCTTCACAGAATATACTGTAAAAGTGAATTGACTGTATATTTGTGGGCGAACGCGGCAGCCAATTGCGCACAGCAATGTCCCATAAACAGTCGTGGATTGAAAATGACCAATTTATTATTGATTTTTTTTGGAGGGATTATTATTAGGTGTGTGGAGTAAGGAAACTTGCCCAAGGTTTCGCCCTGCCTGGAATTGAACTCAGGTCTCTCACTTGCAAAGCGAGTGCTCTAACCACTGAGCTACAGGACTCCACATTGTATTATTGTAAGCATATGACCATCTCTAAATGCAGGAATGCAAACACCAATTGGGACTATTATCAAAAAAATTACCTTTTACATTTATGTGCTTCTACCAACAGAAGCAAATTGCAATTCTTCTATCTTCAGTCCTCTCTTTCTGGTTTCTAGTTTTCTTCTCTTTTTACATAAACAACATATTTCAATTTGATGTTAACTTGGTCTTGTTTTGTTTTAATCACTCAAATTTAAATTTCACCAACTTTCTTTTCTTCTTGCCGATTTTTATTGTGTTAGTAATAGTTTCTGTTTCATACTTTATTTTAAAAAATTCCTCCTACATTTCTCAGTCTTTCTTCTGAACTCAAAGCAATAACAGGGAATAACTATACAAAACTGTATAATTAAGTTGCTGCAGATCTACTTTTTGCAAGTGATGAGTTAATATATTCTGCTAACAACTAGTACCTTTTCTTTCCTTATCAAACACTGATCATATGCCACACCAACTAACATATACTGAATACAACAAGGTGGATTGAGACAATAATCACTACAGTCACCAGTATTTACTATGTGCACCAGGAAAAAAAAGTACTTTTTGAAAATAAACTATTCAGAGATACGGTTCACTTCTGTTTATCAAAGCTGAATTTTATTACCTCTGGTCCACTCTACTAAGTGGAGAAAAAAAAGCCTTTCTAAGACAGATGTCAATGGGCAGGTGTGGTTACATTCAGTCCTCTCAAATGAGGGTAAACAGCTCTACCCTCGTCCACGTAGGCTTGGTTGTTCCAAGTACCAGTGAAATTCCCAGGATTCAAAATGAACTCACTACTCAGTTCCTGCTACCATTCATAACCTAAAACAAGACCTTTTTAACTTTACTAAGTCATCTCTGTACCAGCCAAGATATACAGCTGTAGCAGTGGATAAGCACTTCCTCAGGTAGTTTCACTTAGTAAACTGATGATTGATTCCTAATCACTTCAAATGTGATGTCCAACTAGAGTCAATTTTCATTTGTGTTTGATTTAACAGATTTTCTAAATCAGCACCTCACCTGTGTTCTTTTCTAATATACTGGCCAGTGGTTTCATCAACCACATGAACTTTGACTGTAGGATGCGACACCAGGAGATCAGTTTTCAATCGTTCTGTTCTGTGAATATATACACCAAGGATCAGACTGTCATCATATTTCGGTCTCTGTTGTTGAGGTTCAGCATCTAAGTCAGGAGTAGCTGTTTCATCTTTAGGCTCTTTTGCCTCAATTTCTTCTGCTGTAGCTACAGTGAAGAAAAAGTAATTTTAAAGTTTCCTTTATCTTTAAAAAATGTTCTTCTCAATCTTGTTAGCTCTTTTCATTCTAAAGATAACATAAATATAATACTTGTATTTGGTATAACACGTTATTGCTTCATCAAGATGTCTCAAAGGGTTTTATAAGATTGTACCAATTGCGCACAGCAGAGTCCCACAAACAGTCGTGGATTGAGTGACCAATTTTTTTTATTTAAGAAGAATTATTACCCTCGGAAAAGTGATCCACCAATCGACAAACAACCGGGTTCCTACCTACTGCTAGGTAAACAGAGGCATAATAATAATTATCAACGTTGTATTTGATATAGTGCCTTATATCATCAATGCACTTCACAGGATATACTATAAAGTGATGTTGCTGTGTGTAGTTTGTAGACAATATAAAACCAATAGCAAATAAACGGAGATGTGATAAGGTCATTTCTGAAGGTAATCCTTGAGACTTAAAATCATCGTCTCCTCTGCCTCTTCTGGAGGCTCAAGTGAAGGTTAAAATTTGCATTTGCACTATTTCAAGGAAAAAATATTTTCCCAAAGTCCAAGCCGACATTCCACCCACGTCCAAATGTACAATAAAGAAAATAGGTCATTCATCTCATTGCAGTTTGTGTGATATTGCTGCCATGGATTAGCTGTCATGCTTTACCCACATGACTGTGGACATTGTTGTGTGCAAATTGGTTGCCAAGTAGGCCTACAAATTATACTAGTCTTTACAGTAAATTCTGTGAAGTGCTCTTGTGATGTCCTCCTGATGTGAAAGGCACTACGGTATATTAAATGCAAAGACTATTTATTAAACTATTGAATAAAGCACTTTCAAATGTTTCAACATAAGCTCCATCATATACACTTTGCAAATTTATGTTCTGCCACATATTTAAACAAATGTTATTGTACAATAATAACAAAATAAAAATATCACATGAATAAAATTGCACTGAAAAAATTTGCTCACCTCTGTTACTTTTCTTCTTGGCCTTCTTTCCTTTTGCTTTTTGCTGGACTCCCTCTTCCTCGATCGTTTTCTTATCTTCATCATTTATCACTTCTAGTTTAGACTCTGATGTTAATTTCCTTCTCTGTGGAATCTTTTTCCTTTTCTGATCATTCTCAGCCTGATTGCCCTGCAGCTCTGAAAGGGACATTGCACTGGGGCCAGGGAAGCGGATTTTTTAAAAAGTCACAACAAATGGACTGCATTATATTTCTGACTGCAGCAATAAGAAACTAACTTTTAGCCCATACAAGTAAACTTTTTATCAAAAATAAAGTTACCTATGTTTACCGAAAAGCCCTATTTAATTGAACCACTGTAACCTTACTTTATGAATCATACAAAAATAAAACCAAAACAATTTGCACTTAGCTGTCACCTTATAAAGTGGCATGAAAGAAGTCTGACAAAGGGTCTCGGAATTTATTGGATTCTTACCTTGTTTCACCCTCTTCGAATAATATGTGCTGTTTCTGCTTTTTTTCCTTCATCAGCTCATTGTTTAAAAATGGAGATGTAACAATTGAAATGATTTTTGAGGAGCCTGACTCCAGTTTCTTTTTTCCCTTTTTATACACTTTTGCATCATTCTCAGTTATCTGCTTCTGATAGGCTTGGATTAAGGAATCCGCATCATCTCCTTCGTCATTCTTCAACACTGTCTCAACGTGGTGTTGATGTTCCAACTCATTTTTTGATTTCTTTTTCTTAGATTTTTGTTGCCTTGTCTCAGATTTTGTACTAGCCTGGGATTTGGTTTGGTCAATGCTCACTGCTTCCAGTTGTTCTTCCAAAATCTGAGTAGCACTTTTGTATGACTTCTCCTCATTGAATGACTGTTCCTCAATTGCAGATTTCTTTTTCTTCTTTTTACCCTTTGCTGGGTTTTCAGTATCCTTATAGAGTGCATCATTGTTAACCTTTTCTGCCACAGAAACTCTATCCTTCAGCTTGTTTTTTGTGAAGCGTGGACTTTCCTCTTCACGATTATAGGTGTTATTTAAAATTGTTTCATCGCTCTCACTTTCTTTATGAAGACCGAGTTTATTCCTCAGGGTTTCAAGCTATTAAAATAAACAAAGTGGGTGTTTATTCACAATACTCCAGCCTCACATTACAAAAACATCTTGTTGTATTCAACTAAAATATCAAATGCAAAGATTATTATTTTTACTAAAACATATTCAACTCATGAAACTATTATAAACAAAAGAGGAGTAAACACACAAGGATTGACAAAGCATTTGTTTAGTACTGGATTTATTCCATTGGCATGCTTTTTCCATTTTTTAAAAAAATACAGCACATAGACTATTGAACAAATCCATAACAACAACAAATTACGTTTGTGAAAGGCACTATACTAATGTAATTTGTTGTTGTTATGGTTTTGTTCAATAGTCTATGTACTGTAATTGAGACTGGATGTACCACAACCAATATTCAACTCGTATCTGAATTGTGCACATTGGAACTTGTTGAACTGTAATTTCATAATGTATTGAGACTACTTATTCTCGGTTTATCAGGGATTTTACCATCTCTTCATAACACTATTTACACTCATTCATTATTTCTTCTTCCTCCCCCCCTCCCCCCTCCATTATTCATTTAGCAATAACAGCATTCGTTTATTAAAAGTTACTGAAACAGTTTGAAAAAAAGTTACTGACTGAAATAGTTAAAAAGTTACTGTTGAAACACTAAAACCTCACACAGCAGGAAAATGGACAAAGCAAAAACCTCTGCTCAGGGGGCATCCATTGCAAAGTAAAGGCTTTAAATCAATTTATAGCACATCACTTACTTATTAATAATGTAGTAGTGGTGGGGAGGGGGGGGGAGTCAGGGAATTCTTTAAATGAACACTCATGGATAAGATTAATCAAATACAAGTCATTAATTCCATACTTTTTAATAATGTATACTTACAACAATGCTATCTTGCAATTGTACACTTTTCTTTCTCGATTTCTTTTTTTCAGCCGCTAGAGCAGAATAGTTTTTGAAAACTTCCTCAAATCGAGCCTTTGTCTTTACTTTGGCTTCACTTTGCTCTGCAAGAAATCCCATGTAGTCAAGAACACTTTTGCACAACACTACTTCTGACCATCACAACACCTTTTTGTTTAGTTACGACGCTCCTGCTTCCATTCAAACCAAGTTTTGATACAAAATATAATTGGTATTTATATTTGAAAGGTCTATCGCAAAGAGATGTTTATATTTCAACATCCAATTAATTTTAGTAAAAATGTTTATTTATACCATACCTGTTGGCATCTTCTTCAGAACTATACTCAAGAGATGTTATTTATTTACGACATCCTCTCCCAATATCTTAAGCTTGCAGCCAACCTACAGTGTGCAAAAGAAAGTTGAAATGTAGGACATTAAAAATAGGTGTTTGTTCAAAGGAAAAAAAACATGTTATTCTATTTATTGAGTATACACTGATTAAATCATCAGGTTAATTAACCTATGCAAAACAGATCTTTCTGTTCACTACAAGATCAAATAAATTCCAGGATTCATTTTCAACACTGGCATTTTGACCAAAGAGAATTTAGACACGTTAACTTCAGAGAAAAGAAATGTCTATAAGCCTACAAAACAAAGTACAAGGAAGCTTGCTTAATTATTTTTGGTAGGCCGGATGTCAGACACAAATGGAAACACCATGCTTAAGAGTATACAAAAATCAGAGGGAGTTCCACAAGTGTACACTATACACACGTGAAAATTTCCTTGTGACTGGAATAGAACGTGCACCCTCTCCCTGGAGCATAGCACCCTGTTTACCTAAGATCAGAATGTACTAGGCAAGGGTTGGCAAGAGCCAAGGCTTGACGTTCCGTAGTGTGCATATTTGAATACTGCTGGAGTACTTTGCCAAGCTTCCCACTGCTTGTCCAGCTCAGATCACCTCACCCATCATGGCTTTGCTGCACAGGGTTAACGGGCTGGGAGGGAAAAATCCTTAGCCCCAGTGACCGGTCTGCCAGTCCAATTCCTGCCAATGAGCCAGGCTGGCTGGTCAGTCCTCAGTCGTGCCCTGGAGTATTGCAGACCCTTCTAGCTCAGGAACTAGACGATTGAGATCAGCAATAGAGGGTTGACTTGATTCCTACATTCTATTGCCAAACACATCAGCTTGGAGTCAGCTCAACTTCAAGGTTAGAAGAGAAACAATATTCTTAAAGTACCATAAACTAACATTATATTGATCAATAAATGCCTTATTTCCAAGACCTTTGAATGCTACGGCACAATGGGGAAGGATTAAATTTATCCCATTTCAAAGCAATAATAAGCTTAAAGTAGCACATGTGGCAAAGGATTTATAATGCTCTAGTTAGATAATAGATTGCGTAGTTCCACGTCAGAGTTAAAACCTAAAACCTTCTGACAAAGTGCGCTTATTTAATAACATAGCTCGAAATTACAGATATAGAGCTACTCAGGTAAAGTAGAAGACAACAACAAAATTACATTTGTACAGCACCTTTCACGTCGAGAGGATGTACTAAGGCGCTGGACAATCAGTGTTTCGGACCCGAGCTGAGGGTCAGTATCGGGGAGGGTGGTGGGGAGGGACGGCGGGGGGGAGGGAACGGAGGGTGATCGAAGGCACGGTCGAAGAGGAGAGTTTTCTCAAGTCACCAGACAAATCTCTAGATCATCAAAATTGAAACAAAAACAGCTTCTACTTGATACAAAGACAAGTATTGTATCAGAGATTTTGTAAAATAATAAGCCTTGCATTTGATATAGCGCTTTTCACGTCTTCCAGACGTCCCGAAGCGCTTCACAGAATATGCTGTAAAGTGAATTGACTGCATATTTGTGGGCGAAACGCGGCAGCCAATTGGACACAGGAGTGTCCCACAAGCAGTCGTGGATTGAAAATTACCAATTTTTTTTTTTTTTTTTGGAGGGATTATTATTAGGCTCTGTGTGGCGTAAGGAAACTTGCCCAAGGTTTCGCCCTCTGCCTGGAATTGAACCCAGGTCTCTCGCTTGCAAAGCGAGTGCTCTAACCACTGAGCTACAGGACTCCGTGAACACCTATGAACAAAGCTACTTGGTGTTCTTCTGTATGGCGCACTGAAAATAAGCTTCTCTACTGGTCCATCAGATAAGCTACTCTTTTAATTCCTTGTTAAACGTGCTTGTCTTAACTTAATCTCTGGTTCATGAAACAAGAGATGAAACATCATTTGTAGCATTTGAGTGAGACCAGAATTTAAACTCGCCACTCTTAATTGCTCTTGTCACACTCTCAAATGATCGCAATATGTTTTAACTTGCATTTACACATGAGACAATGAAGCAACTCATGCCCATCTGCAGCAAGACCTGGATAACATCTAGCTGATGAATGGCAGATAAATATCTGCACCACAAAACTGCCATGGGATGACCAATAAAATAAATGAAATAAAATTACAATAAAACTTACATTTTATATAATGCTGGAGAGCATCTCAAAGCAAGATAAAACCCAGACAGCTCACCCTGATCTTCAATGGCCAAAATTATCATTGAGTCTCCCACCATCAACATCCTGGGATATCCATGACATGAAGCTCAACTGGACCAACAACAACAACAAAATTACTTTTGTAAAGCGCCTTTCACATCGGGAGGATGTCCCAAGGCGCTGGACAGGCAGAATTACGGAACCGTGCTGGGGGTTGGGGTAGGGGAGGGTGGAGGGTAGGGGGGGAAGCAGCGAGTTTGAAAGCACAGGCGAAGAGGAGGCTCTTGAGATGGGTCTTGAAGGTGGCAAGGGTGGGGGCGAGGTGGAGGGACTGCGGAATGGAATTCCAGAGGGTGGGGCAGAGTGGCAGAAGGCCCGCCCGCCAATAGTGGGGCGAGTGAGACGGGGGAAGTGAAGCAGACCGTTGTCCGCTGAGCGGAGGGAGCGAGCAGGATGGTAGGGGGCGAGGAGATCACAGAAATAGAGGCAACCAAGACCAAGGAGAGCTTTGAATGTGAAGACCAGGATCGTGAACTGTATCCTCTGTGTGATGGGAAGCCAGTGGAGTTGGGCGAGGATGGGGGTGATAGGGTCGCGGAGCCTAGTGTGGGAGAGAATGTGGGCTGCAGAGTTCTGGATGATCTGCAGACTGTAGAGAGAAGAGTTTGGGAGGCAGACAAGCAATGAGTTTGCATAGTCGAGCCTCAATGTAATATTAACACCAAGGCAGAGGCTTAGTAATCCGTGAAGAGTTGTTCTGAACTCCTCAAAACCTCCCACAACCTACTAGGCTCACATCAGGGGCATTATAGAAGATTAAATACTAGGCTGGATAAATACAGCTGAACAAACATTTTAGAAATTAGATTGCTTGATTGGAAACCTGGTGACTCTAGTCTTGATTCACTGCCCCTCACTGACACACTGCAGTCTTTACTATTTATAGAATACAATGCAGCTACTAACTAGTTTTGCTTTGACACCACCTCACAGCCCTGTGACCTCCACCATCCAGGAGAACAAGAACTGCATTATCACGGGAACTCTACTATCACCAAGTTCTCCTCCATTTCATCTGAGGAGGGGTGAAAAGTAGCTGGTCTCAATTAATCATTATCCACCCCTGTCACATTGAAATGTTATAACCATTCAATGTAGTTTCCACATGAAATCAACCCTAAGATTTGTAGCTTAATTTCAAAACAGATTCAAATTGTCTACCAGAATGCCAAAATACTGTACTACCACATAACAACAATTCATATTTCACTTTCATTATCATAATGTTCAAATGTACACCAGCATCATACATGGTGCCTATTAACATGTCGAAAACTTTGGAGCAAAGCACCCAGATCCACTTATTTTTTCCATTTCTCTAGTGGCAGGGCTTTGAATAAAAGGTAATGTTTAAATAATGTTATTATAACTGTTTTAAAAAAGTGTTAACATACTGTCAATCTTAATGCTAAATGCTGTTTAATATTAAACAGTGTTAATATTACTATAAACATAAATTGCTTTGACATTTCATCATCTTTTCAATACTGTACTGTTAAGACAATATTTAGACAATCTTCTGAAACAAAACAAACATAAAGGCTGTGTACATATCAACAAAACAAAAACAAAACATAATTGCCTGTTCAGGCACGGTTTAATCCAGCTCAGTGAACTGATTTATATTCAGAGAGTATAAATCAGTCCATTGTTTTCTATGGATTAAAAAGCTGAATGTTCTCTCTCATATAAGGTTAAACTGACCTGCAAAATGTTATCAACCCAGCACTCAATCTAATCTTTTTTAAGATTTTGTTTGCCTATAAAATGCAGTCACTACAACTACTTGTATTTATGTAGCGTACTTTATGTAGGGCAATACCTCAGGCTGTTTTGCAAAAGTAGGGTTGAACGCCAAACAAGAGGGGAGAGAGGGGGAAATGGTGTGGGGGTAGGATGGTAAATCCTGTAAATCACTTTGAAGAATTTCAATGAGGTGATAAGGTGCTTCATCACCTTTGTGTTTCATGCTGAGTTGTGTTGCCCACCAGGAAACTCGCAGGGACTTCCTGGTAACTACCATCCACCTAGTGAGGGCTTAAACCCACACTTGTCGATGTTGAACAACCAATTAGTGACCATTTGGGGAGGATAGTCGCTGAGGGCAGGTACTCTTCACACTCAGTTGCTGTTAACCCTGCAAACCAAAACCGTAACCGTTAGGGTGGTCCTCGATGGACAACCATCAGGAAAGCTTGCCAGACAGTGGCAAGCTCTGCGGTTTTAATAAAAATAATAATCTTTGTATTTGATATAGTGTTTTATCATATCTTCTAGGCATCTCAAAGCGCTTCACAGAATATACTGTAAATGAACTGACTGTACATTTGGTGGCTGAAAGACTGCAGCCAATTGCGCACACCAGTGTGGTGGATTCAGTGACTAAGTTATTATTTTAACTGTTTTTTAGCTGGATAGACTCCCAACAGTACCCAACGTATGCTCTGGGATTTCCAAACCTTGGCTCTTGCGAACCTGCACCTAATACTTTCCGGGATTAGATAAGCAGGATGCATCCCTCCAGGGAGAAAGTGCGCGTACCATTACAACAATCTAACTCTGGGATTGCCATGTGTTGGTGGGATGTATGGAAATCTCAGCTCGGTTTGAATAATCTTAACCATGAAGATGTTAATGTGTCAGACACTTGGCTGATTCCAAAAAAAAATCAAACTCAGGGATTATTATATATATGATAATTTTGCTGGGCAGGACAAAACCTTAGGCAAGTTTTCTTACTCCACATGTCTGTTTACCAACCAGTAAGTAGAAACCTGGCTGTTAGTCGATGGATGGATCGCCTTCCGGGGGTAATAATCCCTCCGAAAACGAATAAAATAAATAATTTGGTCACTTCAATCCACGGCTGTTTGTGGGACGCTGCTGTGCGCAATTGGCTGCTGCGTTTTGCCCACAAATATACAGTTATTTCACTTTACAGTATATTCTGTGAAGCGCTTTGAGACGTCTAGAAGACGTGAAAAGCGCTATATCAACTGCAAGGATTATCATTATTATTTATTATTTTATTTATTATTACATACTAACATTTTGCAGCAGCGCAAACAAAATGATATGATTTTGAATTCCAGCGCAACGCTCTGATTTCCCCACAAAATCGGTCGGAAAATTCAGTCGCCGATTGTTTAAGTTTCTTGTCAGAACCACAAAATATACAGTTCACTCCACTTCACAGCGTTTCCCGGGAAGCGCTTTGAGACGTTCAGCAAAGGTGATACGGCGCGATGTCAAATGCAAGGATTATTATTACACAAATCCCTCCTCACCCACAACACATATTATTAAAACGCTCGTTGTCTTCCCCCCTCGGGAGACTTTCTGTTCCAGTCCAGTCAGTTTACCGGGTCGGTGAAGCTTTTCTGACGGTGTTTGCTGTAATTGAGTGAGACCATGGCTGCGGCCTCGGGGGGTTGGGGGGTTGGTGCCGGCCTCGGGGGTGGGGGGTTGGTGCCGGCCTCGGGGGTGGGGGGTTGGTGTCGGCCTCGGGGGTGGGGGGGTTGGTGCCGGCCTCCTGGGTGGGGGGGTTGGTGCCGGCCTCGGGGGTGGGGGGGTTGGTGCCGGCCTCGGGGGTGGGGGGGTTGGTGCTGGCCTCGGGGTGGGGGGGTTGGTGCTGGCCTCGGGGGTGGGGGGTTGGTGCTGGCCTCGGGGGTGGGGGGGTTGGTGCCGGCCTCGGGGGTGGGGGGTTGGTGCCGGCCTCGGGGTGGGGGGGTTGGTGCCGGCCTCGGGGGTGGGGGGGTTGGTGCCCGGTGCTGAACAAGCCCTGCGCTCCCGGGCCGCGCCGCCACTCACCTCACGCCTCGGCTCCTTGTGCTGCAATGCCGGATTCACAGCAAACAGACGAGACCGCGAGTCACCCGCCCGTCTCCGAGACTCACACACTCCGGTCTGACTGTCACCCAAACCGTATCAGAGAGAGAGAGAGAGAGAGAGGCGCAGCACAGCCACCAGGCCCCGCGCAGCCTAGCAACCACCCCCCCCACAGCCTAGCAACCACCCCCCCCACAGCCTAGCAACCACCCCCCACAGCCTAGCAACCACCCCCCACAGCCTAGCAACCACATCCCCCCACAGCCTAGCAACCACCCCCACAGCCTAGCAACCACACCCCCCCCACAGCCTAGCAACCACCCCCCCCACAGCCTAGCAACCACTCCCCCCACAGCCAAGCAACCACCCCCCACAGCCTAGCAACCACACCCCCCCCCACAGCCTAGCAACCACCCCCCACAGCCTAGCAACCCCCCCCCACAGCCTAGCAACCACCCCCCCACAGCCTAGCAACCACCCCCCCACAGCCTAGCAACCACCCCCCCACAGCCTAGCAACCACCCCCCCCACAGCCTAGCAACCACACCCCCCCCCCACAGCCTAGCAACCACTCCCCCCACAGCCTAGCAACCACCCCCCCACAGCCTAGCAACCCCCCCCCCACAGCCTAGCACACCACCCCCCACAGCCTAGCAACCACCCCCCCACAGCCTAGCAACCACTCCCCCCACAGCCTAGCAACCACCCCCCCACAGCCTAGCAACCACCCCCCACAGCCTAGCAACCACCCCCCCACAGCCTAGCAACCACTCCCCCCACAGCCTAGCAACCAACCCCCCACAGCCTAGCAACCCCCCCACAGCCTAGCAACCACCCCCCCACAGCCCAGCAAGCACCCCCCCACAGCCTAGCAACCACCCCCCACAGCCTAGCAACCAACCCCCCCACAGCCTAGCAACCACCCCCCCTCCACAGCCTAGCAACCCCCCCCACAGCCTAGCAACCACCCCCCACAGCCTACCAATCACCCCCCCACAGCTAGCAACCACCCCCACAGCCTACAATCACCCCCCCCACAGCCTAGCAACCACCCCCCCACAGCCTACCAACCACCCCCCCACGCCACAGCCTAGCAACCACCCCCCCACAGCCTAGCAAACAGCCCCCCACAGCCTAGCAACCACCCCCCCAGCCTAGCAAACAGGCCCCCACAGCCTACAACCACCCCCCACAGCCTAGCAACCACCCCCACAGCCTAGCAACCACCCCCCACAGCCTAGCAACCACCCACCCCCCCCCCCCGCACAGCCTAGCAACCACCCCCCCCCCCAGCCTAGCAACCACCCCCCCACAGCCTAGCAACCACCCCCCCCCCCCCGCCACAGCCTAGCAACCACCCCCCACAGCCTAGCAACCACCGCCCCCACAGCCTAGCAACCACCCCCAACCCACCCCACAGCCTAGCAACCACCCCACACACAGCCTAGCAACCACCCCCCCAACCCACCCCACAGCCTAACAACTACACCCCCCAACAGCCTAGCAACCACCCCCGCAACCTAGCAACCACCCCGCCCACCGCCTAGCAACCACCCCACACAGCCTAGCAACTACCCCCCACCACCCACAGCCTAACAACTACACCCCCCAACAGCCTAGCAACCACCCCCCACAAGCCTAGCAACCACCCCCCACAGCCTAGCAACCACCCCCCCACAGCCTAGCAACCACCCCCCACAGCCTAGCAACCACCCCCCCACAGCCTAGCAACCACCCCCCCACAGCCTAGCAACCACCCCCCCAGCCTAGCAACCACCCCCACAGCCTAGCAACCACCCCCCACAGCCTAGCAACCACCCCCCCACAGCCTAGCAACCACCCCCCACACAGCCTAGCAACCACCCACAGCCTAGCAACCCCCCCACAGCCTAAGCAACCACCCCCCCACAGCCTAGCAACCACCCCCCACAGCCTAGCAACCACCCCCCCACAGCCTAGCAACCACCCCCCCACAGCCTAGCAACCACCCCCACAGCCTAGCAACCACTCCCCCACAGCCTAGCAACCACCCCCCCACAGCCTAGCAACCACTCCCCCCACAGCCTAGCAACCACCCCCCCACAGCCTAGCAACCACTCCCGCCCACAGCCTAGCAAACCACCCCCACAGCCTAGCAACCACCCCCCACAGCCTAGCAACCACCCCCCCACAGCCTAGCAACCACCCCCTCCACAGCCTAGCAACCCCCCACAGCCTAGCAACCACCCCCCACAGCCTAGCAACCACCCCCCCACAGCCTACCAACGCACCCCCACGCCGCCTAGCAACCACCCCCCCAGCTAGCAAACAGCCCCCCACAGCCTACAAACCACCCCCCCACAGCCTAGCAACCACCCCCCACAGCCTAGCAACCCCCCCCCCACAGCCTAGCAACCACCCCCCCCCCCCACCACGCAACCACCCCCCCCGCCACAGCCTAGCAACCACCCCCCACAGCCTAGCAACCACCGCCCCACAGCCTAGCAACCACCCCCAACCCACCCCACAGCCTAGCAACCACCCCACACACAGCCTAGCAACCACCCCCAACCCACCCCACAGCCTAACAACTACACCCCCCAACAGCCTAGCAACCACCCCGCAACCTAGCAACCACCCCGCCCACCGCCCACCGCCTAGCAACCACCCCCCACACAGCCTAGCAACTACCCCCCAACCCACCCCCAGCCTAACAACCTACACCCCACAGCCTAGCAACCACCCCCACACAGCCTAGCAACCACCCCCCCACAGCCTAGCAACCACCCCCCACAGCCTAGCAACCACCCCCCACAGCCTAGCAAACCACCCCCACAGCCTAGCAACCACCCCCCAAGCCTAGCAACCACCCCCCCCACAGCCTAGCAAACATCCCCCCACACAGCCTAGCAACCACCCCCCACACACAGCCTAGCAACCACCCCCCCCACAGCCTGGCAACCACCCCCCACACAGCCTAGCAACCACCCCCCACAGCCTAGCAACCACCCCCCCACAGCATAGCAACCACCCCCCCAACCCACCCCACAGCCTAGCAACCACCCCACACACAGCCTAGCAACCACCCCCCCAACCCACCCCACAGCCTAACAACTACACCCCCCCAACAGCCTAGCAACCACCCCCGCAACCTAGCAACCACCCCCCCCACAGGCCTAGCAACCACCCCCCCCCACAGCCTAGCAACCACCCCCCAAACCCACCCCACAGCCTAGCAACTGTCCCCCCCCACAGCCTAGCAACCACCCCCGCAACCTAGCAACCACCCCGCCCACAGCCTAGCAACCACCCCCCCCACAGCCTAGCAACCACCCCCCCACAGCCTAGCAACCACCCCCCCACACAGCCTAGCAACCACCCCCCCCACAGCCTAGCAACCACCCCCCCCCCACAGCCTAGCAACCACCCCCCCACAGCCTAGCAACCACCCCCCCCACACAGCCTAGCAACCACCCCCCCCACACACAGCCTAGCAACCACCCCCCACAGCCTGGCAACCACCCCCCCCACACAGCCTAGCAACCACCCCCCCCACAGCCTAGCAACCACCCCCCCAACCCCACCCCACAGCCTAGCAACTACCCCCCCCCACAGCCTAGCAACCACCCCCCCCCACAGCCTAGCAACCACCCCCCCAACCCACCCACAGCCTAGCAACCACCCCCCCCAACCCACCCCACAGCCTAGCAACTATCCCCCCCACAGCCTAGCAACCACCCCCGCAACCTAGCAACCACCCCGCCCACAGCCTAGCAACCACCCCCCCCACAGCCTAGCAACCACCCCCCCCACAGCCTAGCAACCACCCCCCCCCACACAGCCTAGCAACCACCCCCCCACAGCCTAGCAACCACCCCCCCCCCACAGCCTAGCAACCACCCCGCCCACAGCCTAGCAACCACCCCCCCACACAGCCTAGCAACCACCCCCCCACAGCCTAGCAACCACCCCCCCACAGCCTAGCAACCACCCCCCCACAGCCTAGCAACCACCCCCCCACACAGCCTAGCAACCACCCCCCCCACAGCCTAGCAACCACCCCCCCCACAGCCTAGCAACCACCCCCCCCACAGCCTAGCAACCACCCCCCCCACACAGCCTAGCAACCACCCCCCCACACACAGCCTAGCAAGCACCCCCCACAGCCTAGCAACCACCCCCACCCCCACAGCCTAGCAACCAACCCCCCCGCAGCCTAGCAACCACCCCCGCAACCTAGCAACCACGCCCTACCCCCGCAGCCTAGCAACCACCCCCAAATCCCACAGCCTAGCAACCACCCCCCACCCCCGCAGCCTAGTAACCACCCCCCACCTCCGCAGTCCAGCAACCACACCCCCCACCCCCGCAACCTGGCAAACACCGCCCACCCCGCAGCCTAGCAACCACCCCCCGCAGCCTAGCAACCACACCCCCCACCCCCTCAGCCTAGCAACCACCCCCCACCCCGCAGCCTAGCAACCACGCCCCCACCCCGCAGCCTAGCAACCACACCTCCCACCCCCGCAACCTAGCAACCACCCCCCACACCCGCAGCCTAGTAACCACCCCCCCCAAACCGCAGCCTAGCAACCTCCCCCACCTCCGCAGCCTAGCAACAACGCCCCCCTACCCTGCAGCCTAGCAACCTGACCCGCCCCCCCCACAGCCTAGCAACACATGCCCAATGACAACAAGTTGCATTATTTTATCGCCTCTCACGCAGCGTAGCATCCCAGACAACAACAACAAAATTAAATTTATAGAGTGCCTTTCATGTCGGGAGGACGTCCCAAAGCGCTGAACAGTCAGGTGTTGGGGCCTGAGGATGGGGGAGGGATGGTGTAGGGGTGAGAGAAGGCAGAGAGGTGGGAGGGAGACCAAAGGCACGATTGAAGAGAAGGGTCTTGAGACCGGCCTTGAAGGAGGCAAGGGAGGAAGCGAGGTGAAGGGACCGTGGGATGGAGTTCCAGAGTGTGGGGGCAGAGAGGCTGAAAGCCCGGCCACCGATGGTAGGGCAGGTCGGGGGGGAGACATGGAGTAGGCAGGAGCCCACTGAACAGAGGGAGTGGGCAGGTTGGTAGGGAGTCAGCAGGTCAGAGAGGTAGGAGGGGGCAAAGCCATGGATGGCTTTAATAGTGAGGACGAGGATCTTGAACTCGATCCTCTGGGAGATGGGGAGCAGTGGAGTCGGGCGAGGGTGGGAGT